GAATCGAACCCAAATCTTCGGCGTGACGAGCGAACGCCCCATCATGAGCCATGAACAACCACTTGGTGATTGGATATAGGGCCCTATACAAATGGACTTATTATTATTATCAAAATATAAGAGTTGATATCCATAAACTATCATACTTAGTAATAACTTTTGAGTCCGAACCTGCCTCTTGACATCATTTTCTGAAGATTTTTGTGTTAATGTATCAACTTTTATAAGCAAACATGCAAGACCGAAATCCATTTTACAAGATTGAGACTATGGACTAGTAACTTAAGTCACACAGGCTTTGCTTACAGTTGATATATTAGCTTGAAAAATTTGTGAAGTTGAAAAAGCCCACATCTTGTTCTTGTAATTTTTATTGGGCTTGTTATTTGGTGAAGGTGAACCAACAGATCAAACATGGTTCTAAAAGAGGATTTTTGGAAATGTAATACTCAGACATGGGAACGGCAAAGCACAAAAAACACTGAAAATTTAGCTGGGAATTTTGGGGGTCTTTATTGCATATTTACATCAATCTCAAAACAACTATCCCGGAAATCCGCGGAAAATTCTCATGTCTGAATACCCTGGGATTAGACTTAAAAACCATTGAGGGAATAAAACGGAGAATTCAAACTTTCCATTTGCAAATATCAGTTTCATACAATGGGTGGATTTTGTCCTTGAAGTGTGATGCATTCATACCCAGGACTCTTTAAATCTGAAATTCTAAGTATCATCACAAGGCCCCTTGAACTCTTATCTTACATTTTGGGCACTAAAAAGGTTATAGTAATATATTTTGGCTCTAAACAGGTTATAGTAATATATTTTGGCTCTAAACAGGTTATAGTAATATATTTTGGGCTCTAAAAAGATTATAGTAATATATTTTTCAAACTACAGAGTAGTAGGACATTGACCATAGACTATGTACAACTTAAGGGCCCCAATCCACAAAGCATTCATAGCTGTTGTAAGTCATTATTAATCAAAGAGTTACAATAGCAACACTTGGAAGGGTTCGAAATGAACTTAACTTCACAGGTCCAAGATGACAAAATCCAGGAAAGACGGTGAATACACAATGCATATGCCTAATATATGTTACAGGAAAGACTACTGATATTTGATTGTTGACTTCCAAATTACCAATAGGTACACGGCAATCTGGAGCGGATCGGTTTTGAGGACTTGTGAAAAAAATTAATTTCTAACCCTTCTTTGTGGAATAGGGCCCTGATTGATATCAAGGATGTAAAATGCACAGTCAGCACTTTTTACAAACGGCCTGTACACAAAGGCAGTGAAAGGGGCTAGGCAAAGAGGAAGGCAAGGGTTAGAGCAAGATGATGTTAAGATGATGTTAGCATACATACAGGCGAGCCGGGCCGTCCCCAGCCTCACATACGTAATTCTCCGTGTGAACCTCCAGACTACAACAGATAGTTACACTTTCAAAATGGCCGCTGGAGAAAGCTTACAGGTGGCTAGTGATGGTAAAAACATCCTTGATGTTGTACATGAAGCAATGATGTTGCTGAAACTCTAGACGTACCGCAAAAATTTGGCAGATCAAACAAAACGATAATGTTACACGATTACATGTTGATGATACAAAAACTTTCAAAATTACAACTGCCAGTTGATCATGTACAAATGATACAGAATGATAATTTGATCAAATTTGATCTTATTGAAAGAAAATGAATGATTAAAAATTATGACTTTTCATATATTTTTTTAAATTGTACATATTAATATTATAATCATGATTGTTATGAATAAATGTCATGTTTATGATACTTCGCACGACAGCAAAATATGCAGACATGCTATCACAACATTGTACACCATGGAAACAGATACGTAACAATGGAGATTCTATTTGTGTACACAGATGGGTCTGATGCTAGCAAACATCAATACTGACTCAGCAGTAGTTTTTGGCAAGTAGCACCTGACTGAATTGTGTTTTTTTACTGGCACACAAACACTCAAGGCCCTAACTCAGCACACAGAAAACAGAGTTGAACATCATGCACAAGAGAACAACAGCGTGCCTGCATGCTGGATCTCCTTGATTACCCTAGCAAAAATATTCTTGGTTCTAAAGAAATTTATAATCAGCTTCAGTCATCATCCTTAGGCCATTTTACATTTACAACAAGCGATGACTTGGGAGTATGTTCTAAAAACCTCACAATAAATTACGTCCTGAGAACCAAACACTTTTTTTTGACCAAATTGCAAAATATGGAACAAATTCATTTCAAACAGAAACATTGTACATTTCGACAATGTGTACTTATATATATATTTATTATCTAAGCTCAAAATGAATGGCACTTTCAAGCAGAATTGATTATCATTTATTTTTCAAAAATAAGTTTCTTAAGTCATTTCTCTAATATTTCTTTTCCTTGATTCTCATCACAAATATTTTACCAAACTATTTTTTGGCATATTCAAAAACTGAAAAGTGTTGCCAAGTGTCATGCAAGGATAGGGGTCACATGCAACAGAACAATACCGAGCAGGCTGTGACAATCACAAAATATCATTATTATTTATCATTATTATCATGTCTGTATAGAAACAAGAAAACTATCGCATGATCTGAATACTGGGTGATTTACATTCCCGAAACTACAGCCGATCTGATTAAAATAAAAATAACTTCTCACTTCGGCTACGGAAGGATCTTATGTCTTCCCATTTTGGATTGAGCCAGACCAACTCATAATGGTTAAGATGAAGTAGGTAATCTGAATGGAAATTGTTGGCTGTATGACTCATTCCCTCAAAAAACTGTCTATCTGTCTGTTCAATGGGATCAACGCTGGAAATGGAAGGAAGAGACTTTCCAAGGCATGTACTGTCATACAGAATCAGCCATTTATTAAATATTTCAATTATTTTTATTTATTTTTTCAAATTTTGAATTATAGCATTGAAAGGAAGTCATCAACTTGAAACCATAACGCTTGAGTGAGCTGCTTTCTAAATGGCTAATGTCGACTTCTTGTTACCGGTAGTCATTTCATTGTTCAGTCAACATTCATTCTCAAGAGGTCGTTGAGACATGTCCAGGATGGGATATCCCCATATTGTGTCATGGTAGCAGGCACTATGATCTGATTCACATGAGAATGGCAGATGTTGTTGATCACCAAAACATCATTAATCCAGAATTATTCGCGAGATAGATCTATTTATATTTCAAAATGCTTAACAAGCCCTTTCCTAATTTTCTTTTTAAACAGCACAAGAGTATTAAAACTGGACATATAAGTCCATTACACTGAAATGCAAGTATTAAAAAGGTTTTTTTCACCCCAAAAGTAAAACAGTTATTTCCCTGACTTGAGATCATATTGAGCACATCACAACATGCATGTTGTACCACTCCATATGGTCTCCTAAATGAAATGGATTTACAAAACAACTGTATATGAAGACTTCCTCAATTATCTAATGTTTTACATCTTCATTCAGTTCTGATAAATATCCTGGCCCCATTCCAAGCCAAAGCACAGTCGAGGATGTGGCGCCGAAATTGCCAGTTCTTAAACAAGCAAGAAGGAAGGTCTAATTCTGTTAGGATTTCCCAGCTGTTTGTTTATATTATTGTTAACTGTTTTCAACAATATTGCAGCTTTATGAAAGCAGCCGGAAATTATAAACCCAAACCAGAAAATCCTGTGATTGACATCAGGGGCATCTATCTATGCAGTTGGGATCCTCAATAACCTCCAGGGTATATGTTCCAATAAATCTCCACTATGCCCTGGATGCATCTATGGCTCGGCCCCATGATTTTATTACCTCCCTTGGCCGGCTTTTTAACCAATCAGGTGTCTATGCTGGGAAGATAAGTGTACCAATCACAACTCACTTTCGCTTCTTTTATCTAACCGATTAAACTTGGCAACATAATTGTTGCAGAGGTACTCTAAAAGACGTAGAAAGGGTTCTTGCATATATTTTTATGGTTTCAGAGCTGTCAATCTGTCTGTATGATTTCCCCATAGATCTGAATCGTACTGCAAACAAACCTTCGCGACTGCGACTGCTATCTTTTTTTACACTGGCAGGCTCGGTTGTAACGGCGGCTTAGCTGATTGGTTACTGTGAGAATGCGGAGCCAGCAAAGGGAGGTAATAAAATTATCGGGCCAAGCCATAGATGCATCCAGGGTACTAGTGGAGATTTATCGTAACATATCCCCTGGAGATTATCGAGGATGGGATACAATCAACCCAGTCTGCTAGCCTGACCATCCCGTCCTGTTCACTGTCGCATAATGTGGTGCCGGAGACCAATTCAAACCCAGATTTTCAAAGGGTTTCCCAGTTGTATTTCAAACATGAAAGAAGCTGGTAATTTGATTGAACAGCTATCTTTTCAAATCTGACTCGAAAAGAAGCTTCGATGGTGGACTGGCCAGAGTAATTATATTTATACAGAATGAAGACTAAAATCATTGGAGAGTCGAGGATGATATCCAAACATACACAACCAAAACATTAAACACAACTGACAACTCATTCCTCAGACAAAGTGTTATTGTTATAAAGACTAAACTAAGCCAGTATTAGTACTTATTAGACACTACACGATTTACTTAATAAATTCAATATCCAGGAAATGAATGGAATTTAAAACTAAAAATTTCCACTAAAGCAAAGAAACAAAATCCTACAAAGAATAATAATTTCTGTTCCAAATAAAAAAATTAATTCATAATATTTTTTCTGACTTTGTCAGTGGGGATTTTTGCTTTTCAATTTTCTTTTAAACAGTCAATTTTTTATTTCTTTTACTGCGAAACTTCACTATAACAATAACAGAATCACTGATATATATATATATAACGCTACCAATTTGTACAGTCCAATGAGAACACACACAGTGATGACAAACTTCACCACACAACCATGTTAAAATACCACCACAATGTTCAAACAGTGACGCTTGTCAAGGGAGGTAACTCTACATACCTGCTGCTGGATAGGTAATCCCCGATTTTCTCTTGGTTATTCCACAGTAACCGATGTAACGCAATGACGTTTGCATCGTTGATGAAAGACAAACTGTGGTTCCCTGCATCAAGCGTCTCGCAGTCTGATGCAATCTCCGTAAAAAATCTAAAACAGTAATGTACATATTATTTCCATACATTACAAGTCCATGCATCGTTATATGGAACACTGCAGTCATCAACAGTATAAACTCATCAGTACTGCCTGTAAATAATCAAGTCTGCACCAGACAAATACCACTGGTCAATATTATGAGCACCAAACAAACCAGTGGTTAATATTGTGAGCACAAGGCAAACAAGTGGTTGATATTGTGAACACAAGGCAAACCAGTGGTTGATATTGTGAGCACCAGGCAAACAGGTGGTTGAAATTGAGAGCACCAGGCAAACCGGTGGTTGATATTGTGAGCACCAGGCAAACCGGTGGTTGATATTGTGAACACCAGGCAAACCAGTGGTTGATATTGTGAACACCAGGCAAACCAGTGGTTGATATTGTGAGCACAAGGCAAACCAGTGGTTGATATTGTGAACACCAGGCAAACCAGTGGTTGATATTGTGAGCACCAGGCAAACCAGTGGTTGATATTGAGAGCACCAGGCAAACCAGTGGCTGATATTGTGAGAAACAGGCAAACCGGTGGCTGATATTGTGAGCACCAGGCAAACCGGTGGTTGATATTGTGAACACCAGGCAAACCAGTGGTTGATACTGTGAGCACCAGACAAACCAGTGGTTGATACTGTGAGCACCAGACAACCCACTGGATGATATTATGAGCCCCAGACAACCCACTGGATGATATTATGAGCCCCAGAGAAAACATTGATTGAGTGAGTGGGTATGGGTTTATGCTGCTTTTTGCAATATTCCAGTAATATCACACAGCTTCACACACTGTACCCATATGGGGAATTGAACCCGGGTCTTCAGCGTGACGGGTGAATGCTGTAACTACTTGACCACCACCCCTAAACACACCCAACGAAGCATTGCCATGGGGTACATGTGATGATAAATTTTTAACAAAACCATGCAGCTTACTTTCTGCCAGCCTCAAAGTTGGACTTGAGGAATTCATTGAAGGCTGTCATATGCTGCTCCTTGGTGAAGAGCAGGTGGTTGGCGATGTTCTGCATGATCTTGCACATCAGTGTCAGTCCTCTCTTGATCCGCAGCGTCGGTTCTTCCTCCACGATGCCAGACTCGTACGGTGAAACTATAAACATGATCAACACACCCTCAAGTTAAGCCCGGAGTCTCAACAATGGCTGTGCTTCATGTCTGAATCAGTCTGATGCTTTAAAGAGTATCACATTTCCTTAGTTTTGCTTCTCGGCCATTTGAGGACTCAAAAATAAGAATTTCAAATATATTTTTTATTTCTTCAAATACCTGAGGAGAGCCAACTTATTTTGGAATTGAGAAGTCAGTTACTGCTCCATCAATGCATGGATTAATTATCATTCAGTCAGCCGTTGATGTTTTGGGTTCAAACTCGGGTCCTGAAAAGGTCATCACGTGACTGATGCTTACATTTGGTCCCTGAAAACTTTTTGAGTAATTTAGAATATTCAATAAATGTCACTGATGTTGTATATCCAAATGATACATGACATTTTCATGATTTTATCAACTTTTGATCTCTGATGCACTTTTTGCAAGTATCTTTTTAAACCTACCCACCTACACAAGAATTGGTATCCTCCCCTAAAATATCTGGCTTAATATGAGAATGCTTTTCTAGCCAGAACCCCAAATGTGTCAAACTTACAAAGAACAATGAGTTGACAGTCAGCTGGAGGATTCTGCAATTACTTGTTACCATGGTTACTGACAAAAAATAATACTATTTACAAAACTTATATACTCTTTCCCAGAATTACAGGAATGAAAAAGCTGTTTGAACCAGAACGTCAAAATACCAAACAACAAGGAATTACAGTCAGTTAAAGAATTCTGGAATTATGTTACCATGGTTACTGACAAACAAATACTGTTTTACAGAAATTTGATGTTACTGTCTCATCATTACCGGAAGGGTGGAAATATTTACAGGCTACACACAAGATGATGTGTTAGTGCACATGAATGATGAATGGTCTTGATATTGCAAAAGCAGCTGTGAGAATTAGGGGTAAGTGCAGCCACACTCACATATCAGAACAATGGAATTAGTTGTCCAGTCAACACAATCAGCCTTCGTGCTATCAATTTACCTTTGTCGATGAGGAAATCAAATTGTGGAGAAAATTGGGCCATTATACGGCCATTAAGCATGAAGTACCAATTTTACTTGGAAAGAGCAATTGAGTATGGTTTTACGCCGCTTCAGCAATATTCCAGCAATATCACGGTGGGGACACCACAAATGGGCTTCACACGTCTTCGGAGTGATGAGCAGGCACTTTAACCATTAGGCTACCCCACCCCCCTACTTGGGAAGGAGATATTTCAAAATAACACTCCCAGCAAACCAAACACCATCCTGAATGTCCACGAAGAACAAACAAATTTTAGTTGCACAGTTACAATACACTTCACAACAAAAGCATACAGTTACAGAATTACAATTACAAAATGAAAAACCTTCAACAAAACTTCAAGAACAACTACAGGCAATATCTTCAAGTAACCCCAAAACTTAACAACTGCTGTTATAAATTATGTAAAAAGTGGCCTGAAAAATGGTATTTTCACAAGTATAGAAGTACACTGACATGCTGGTCTTGCCATGCTTCTCAATGACATGCACTACGAAACATATCACGCATGGCAGATGTCGCAGGAATCAACTAATTACTATTGCATGCAGATGTATATACAAGTATAGGCTTCCTCTCTATTCCCTATAGTCTCAAACATGCAACTTTCCTTCAAACAAAAGAATACACTGACATTTCCAAGCTACAAATAGTATTACAACACACCCATACTACTCAAAAGTTGTTTAGAAGACACCCAAGTTTCACATGACTACAGTGAACACAGTGACCAATTCCCTATAGTCATAGAACATGGGCTGTTCCTTAACATCATTTGAGTAGTATACAAAGGAAGTGACAATATCCCATTTCTAATGTGTACACTATTGTGTAATATTCCATCAAACTGTTTCCCCAAATACACTCTTTATATATTTTCAATTGTGAATTTATTGTCCTCAAAATCCTCAATCTTGGATTTTTGTAGTTTTCAACTACTTCATGTAATATGAACTCTAAATTATATGAAAGCAAACTGTTCCCTTTAATATTTTTTAACCTAACTGCAATTAATTGACAAAAAAAAGAGTTATTTTCATGATAAAGGTCATCATTTATGCATACATAAAGTCTTGAGGGCCTAAAATATCAATGACTTTAAAAAAAACACTATCAGGTTATTTTGTAAGTATAAAGAATTTAAACACATTATTCCCAATTTCTTGCAAGCAGAAGTGAAAATATTCACATGTTCTCTATTCACGTAAGGCCAGACCAATTTTATTCTTGTATTACGGATCTGCCAGTCGTATTTTTTCAAGAATAAGAAAACAAATTAAAATTAATTTTCCCCGCTCAAAAAATACAATTTAATATTTTTATTGGCCAAGAAGGTAAATGTGCAAGAAAATGTGTTTAGATTGTTTTTTGCCCAATATATACTTTAATTGCCAAAAGTAACATACTTTTAGAATTTAAAAGGAATATTACTTTGACTGATGATTTTGATTTATATTTTTCTCCCTCCTGCCTTTAGGTTTTCTGAAGACAAAAATCCGTGTAAGAAATGAAATTGGTCTGGCCTAACTGTAAAATAGAAATTGCCAGGATTCATTGTTGTTCAATGCTTTTTATTTTTCTCTTTTAAAATTCAGGTTGTTATGTTTTGGCAGTTAAATCAATAAACCAACTAAAAAAAATACACATGAGATCATATTTGTACTTTAAGTCATATTTTGTTGACAATTCATGCAGACTGTACATGAGCCCCTATGACCAGAAATATCACAAATTGATGATTATTCATTACCATTTGAGGAAGGATAAAATTTTATGGATCAAAATCCCTGCAATGCTAAAACTAGCAGAAAGACTTCAGCCTTTTAATGTCAAGCGACATGATTTCCTTTTTGCTTTGGTCCCTACAAAATATACAAGAATTCAAAACAGTTATTCCAAAATGATGTTCATGCATATCTATCCAACTGCAACACGTCGACAGAGAACCAAAGAACCCAATCAAACCCACCAACCAATCACAAGACAATATCAGCAAACTCCTAACAGGGTTGAGGCAGGTGCCCCTGCAGTGTGTGGAGTTACCTATGGCAGGGTTGATGAAGCGTAGGAATATAACTGTCCCAATCACTGTCCACACTGCTTCAGCACTACTTTGTTGGAAACGCTGGGTTACCACCTGGTACAGGCAATGGCACATACTCCGGAGTTTAGGAGGGAACCTGCACGAGCAACAGACAGAGTTACTTCCCTTAGCTCTCCCCCACAGTGCCACCTGTGATAACACGTGGAATGAGCCACCACATCACTGGAGACAGTGGACCCTGGATACACACTGAAAGTTATTCACATCGTCAGTTTGGCATGAACAAATTAGTAAAAACACATCACAGTAACAAAGCACATATTAAATCCAATGGGTAGTCTAGTGCCAACCATTCCAAGAGCGGCAAGCGGGATGGGTCTGTTAGAACATGATGGTCGATAGAATCGCTGCAGGCAGGCATGCGTAGGTGGGCGTGGCCGGGTGTCAACATAAGTAATAGAGGCAATCGAAAATGGACACATATATAACAATTTTAATATTCTTATCAACTGATATGAAAAACAGAATTAATTAAAAATTTACCTTTTATGGATAATTTGTACACAAATTCACTTTTACCAATAATTTGTAAACAGGTTTCCCAAATGAAAACAACAGACAAAATGAAAAATATTAAACTTGACATCCAAATATAACTTCTGATCAAAAAGTTTAAATGAAGTTAAATTCAAATCCGAAAAAAAAAAAAAAAATTCCATTAAGGTTGACTGCAAAAGTATCTTATCAGAAGTATCTTTAAGCTTAAGCCTACCAGAGGTAACAGGGCTGAAGGAAGCTTGACTGACTTCAGCCAAGCACTAAAAGCCCATAGTGTGCGACAGGTTGTGCTCCACTCTCTGACACGCCCCTACTACTCTGTGAGGAGCCCTACTTACAACTGCTGGGGAGTATTGGCCGTCCGTGACACGGGGTGAGAGGGTCAACTTGTAGGTTGTGTGTTCAAAGACCATGTGTCATTACCATATCTCTTTTCTCAGTTTTTAATGTGATACTTAGTACTTTCACAGCAATTTAAAACAGTGGGTTCTAATGTAAATGTTACATGACTGTAAACAGCAGAAAATTTGTTGAAATAAAATGTTTCCGTTTTGAGTGGCCTTTCAGAAAAGCCAAATTTACAAAAGAATTAAAGAAAAGTAATTACAGAAAAGGAATAAATATCCAGAATATGAATATGATATCATACAGCTTAAATTATCAGCCAAGCGTATACTTTTCTTCTTAAGAATGGTCAAATCTGATGAGCAAGTACTGTTCTTAACTAAATGTATTCACAGCAATTTGTATTCACATGTATAATTGCATGTCAAATAAGCAATAGTCATTTGTAAAGTAAGTTCAGGTCCCAAATATAAACATGTTTGTAGAGGTTTTAAACATCTATAATACATTTGAATTAATCATCTCAAATTGGTATAAGAAATGTCTCAAACATGCATAACAAGTTTGTAAATAAAGTAAGTTAGTATTAAAAGTAGAGGTATCAAATATGTACAGTAAGTCTGAATTGAAAGTAGAGATTTCAAATATGCATAATCTTTTTTAAAAGTAGAGGTATCAAATATGTACAGTAAGTCTGAATTGAAAGTAGAGATTTCAAATATGCATAATTTTTTAAAAGTAGAGGTATCAAATATGTACAGTAAGTCTGAATTGAAAGTAGAGATTTCAAATATGCATAATATGTTTTTTAAAAGTAGAGGTTTCAAATATGCACAGTAAGTTTGAATTGAAAGTAGAGGTTTCAAATATGTACAGGAAGTTTCACTGTAACTGTAAGCAGTGGTTTCAAATGTGTACAGGAAGTTTCTATTGAAATAGAGGTTTCAAACATGTATAGGAAGTTTCATTGTAAGCAGAGGTTTCAAATGTGTATAGGAAGATTCATTGCAAGCAGAGGTTTCAAATATGTACAGAGTTTGCATTGAAGTAGAGGTTTCAAATATGTAATGATACTGGTCCCTGAACACAAGTGAGTTGAGGACGATTCATGACCAGAGTGAGTAACGGATGAGAGAAGAATAAAGCAGCATACAGGGCCTACAATCTTCCATGTCAGGGCGCAGTCACATGACATGGTCACATGACCAGGACACAGGACAGTTACCTAATACTGGGTTGTAAAATCGGAGAAATATAACAGTTCCTGTTGCAGTGATCATATCCTGTGGAAATCTGAATCCGATGACCTGACCAAGACAATGGCACATTGTCCGAAGTTTGGGAGGGAATCTGGAAACAAGTGACATGCTTGTTATCACAACCATCAACACATGTCACTCACTATACTCAAATACAGAGGTCAGATGAAACACTGGTTTCGATGATGCTGCAATTTCAAATACCAACACCACATACACAAGTTTGGTCAGTCTCAATTTAATCTGAATGCCTGTTGATGTAACACAAATTCCTGAAAAGGCAATCAGTATAATTTTATTCTATTCTATGACCCATGTGGCTTTTTCTCAGGGTCAATTGTATTTGTTTTCAGTAATATCAAATCTCAAGAGCACATTATTCAAGTTTATTGGTCCGAACATATCAACTTTCTTACCCATGTGGCATTTCTTGTATTTCCGCAATTTCAAATACAACAAACAAGGCTTCATTTTCTTTCCCATCTGAATGTGTATTTAATATTTCTGTACGAAATTACAGCTCCAACCAGTTGAATCGATTATAAACTGCAACCATAGGACTTCATGCAAAAATGAAATTTCTAAAGCAAATAAAACTGAAATAGGATTAAAACAATAAAAATGAAAAGCTACCTTTTCTTCACATAGTATATATATGGCACCTTAAAAAACATGTTATTTAGCACACGACTGTACAATCCGATAATTTGACATGCATGAAAAATCTGTACAAGGCATTGTAAAACACAGATATCATCATAAATACTAGCACTGTCATGTTGTAAATATAACACATTAACACTGGAAAATAATCGGTCACCTCTGATTCCATAGTCATGACAATAAAATTGTTTGTTTGTTTGTTTGGTGTTTAATGCCGCACTCAGCAATATTCCACCTATATGGCAGAGGTCTGTAAAAAAACAGTCATCAACATCACGAGCATCGATCTACGCAGCTGGGATACGATGACTCATCAACAAAGTCACATGAAAATTAAATGAAAGGTCACTGAAAATTAAGGATGACACCAGGTGTTCCCAAACAGTTCGTAGTTTCATTTTCATATCTGAAAAAAATCATCAACTCCATACGGTTTATTTGATTAGCATCCTGGAAACTGGCGAGACATCGAAAACTACATCGGAAAGTCGCAATTTTTAACCACAACTATTATATATATATAATAATAATAAATAATATTTTCATCTAAATGTTTGAAGAATTTTTTTTTTTCTGTGGACATTAAATTTTGAATGATGACATTCACACATAATTTGAATATTTGGTCAGAAATCAATAATTAAGTTATTATTGCTTCAGTGAGTGAGTGAGTTTGGTTTTACCCTGCTTTTAGCAATATTCCAGCAATATCACGGCGAGGGACACCAGAAATGGGCTTAACACACTGTACCCATGTGGGGAATCGAACCCGGGTCTTCGGCATGACGAACGAACGCCTTAACAACTAGGCTACCCTAATGCCCCTCACGGCTTCAGGAAGCCCTGCCAACAAAAATGAATGTTTCCAGAACCCACTGAATGCTCATTCCTCTGTAATCCCGATTTTTATACTCATCATGAAAAAAAAACAGGTTTCTACAAATACAGGGTCCAGACTATGGAGGTTCCGCTATACTCAATTCCTATTTCATTTCAGTTAAACTGTAGCATGGCTTATTGACTCACAAAAGTACCCACCTCCAAGTCTATACCGTACACGACAAATCATTTAGTGTTCATCACAGAAGTCAAGGATGCTAACATAGCTGCAGCATTTTCAATTAAATGCAAGAAGTATCCCCTGCATGCTGATCTCCATGATTCGCAATAGAAAACAAGATGAACGTAAGATGCATTTAAAACAAAACATTCATCAATACACTTCCAATGCTGGTGTGTTTACACCAAGAGTAAGCAGAGGACATTCACCAAGTTCTGGAACAAGCTACCCTCCAAAAACGTAACCCACAGTATCAGGATGCACAGATGCATTGGCATGCTCATGTGTTTGTTGTTTATTGGTATGTGCAATAGTTTCTTTAAATATGTCCCCTTTTTTCAAACATAAACCCCACCCACCCCATTTTTCACCAACTATTTGTTGGTTGGGAGAGCCTCGCGTTTTTCACTAGCTGTTTGTTGAGAGTTGGTTGGAACTGTTTGTTTGTGTGGAAGTCAGGGGTGGAAATAACTTGCTAGTGTACTCCGGAACAGTGGCACATGTAAAATTACTTGCCCTGATAATTTTTCCACTATACCGGCTGTTTTCTTGTTGATTTTTTAAAATAAACATCATAATTAACATTGGACAGTCAACTGGACACCGGTACAGTGTGATATACAAATTTGCTTGCCCGACAGAAAATAACACTGGACTCAGACGTCGGGCAATGGGTTATTTCCACCCCTGGGAAGTGCCCCACCTTTTCACAACTAATTGCTGGCTGAAGTGAGTGAGTTTGTTCAAAATCGCTTTCAGCAATATTCCAGAAATATCACGGTGGGGGACACCAGATATGGGCTTCACACATTGTACCCATGTGGGGAATCGACCCCGGGTCTTCAGCGTAAAAAGCAGACCATTAGGCTGTAACCAATAGGCTACCCGCCTCCCCAGTGGATGGAAGAGCCCGATGTGCAGTATAGAACCCCTGTACAGTATGGAGTATGTTCATTAGAAGTAACAGCTTGGTTTCTTCGTTGCAAACTCTGACTATTAATCCCTGTAAAGAATGAAAAATAGTCGTAGACCATTAGGCTACCCCGCCTCCCCAGTGGATAGAAGAGCCCTATGTGCAGTATAGAACCCCTGTACAGTATGGAGTATGTTCATTTGAAGGAACAGCTTGGTTTCTTCGTTGCAAACTCTGACTATTAATCCCTGTATTAATAATTTCAAAACAGTTTATGTCATCATATTTCATGTTGCAGCCCTGTAAATGGCTTATGACTCAATGTTTGTCTCACCTCTGTGCGGAGCCCACAATTGCACTGAACACCTTCAGGGTCATGTCCAACAGGTTCTTCTTGTTCTCGTCGATGTTCTCTCCTGGTTCCAGTCTGAAACAATCAACAGAAATTGTTCTCCATTTAGCGTTGACTTCAATATTTTCTACATTAATGGGGATATAACGGCAAAAATCAGGTTACTCAGGACTGTGTTTGTTGCTTAGGTGAGGTGAGGTGAAATTGGGTTTTACGTCGTACTTGAGAATATTTCTGCTCATATGACGACGTGCATGTGTGTATGTGTATGTGCGGCTGCTTGTACTAGCCCAGACTTAAGCTGGTTTTATAGTGCTAGCCCACTGAGATACCATGCCGCAGTGAAGCATGAATACCCCACTCCGACACATGATACTGACTCCGAGCCGACCAGTCCTTGTTGTACCCATTAATGCCGAGCGCCAGGCAGGGACCAACAAGTACCCTATTTTAACGTCTTTTGGTATGACGCAGTCGGGGATCGAACCCACGACCTGACGCTCTAACCACTACACCACGGAGGCGGTCGTTTATTGCTTAAAGTGAGTGAGTTAAGTTTTAGCAATATTCCAGGAATTTCATGGCGGCGGACACCAGAAATGGGCTTCACACGTGGTACTCATGTGGGGAATCGAAAGCTTTAACCACTTGACTACTCCACTGCCCGTTGTTGCTTAAAGACACTAGCATATATACTACTCTCACTTTGCTAAGGATCACAAAAATTCACAACTTTACTTAAACGTAGATTCATAATTAGAAATTGTATCCATTTAAAACTGGATAAATAAATAAATTATAACATGGTAACCCAACTTTAGGCAAACAGTCACTTTAATCTAACCTTATGCACCTGATACACGAGTAACCATAAAACGGTTTTCATGGCACCGGTCAACCATTTTGCAACTCATGGAACGAGTCACTGACAAGTACACAACACCTGTCAATAGCAGGTATTGGTTCAAAAAGATGAAATGACTAACTGCAACCTAGTATCCATGCTTACAATAAGCTTAGATAGTTAAACCAAATTCGACCCCCACATCATAGTTCTCTGTTGAATTCATGATTTGATCCTTAGCAAAGTGTGAATAGTATATGTTCCAGTGATGTCTTGTCAGCATGGAACTTACCCTTCATTTTGGTGCTTAACTTTGTTTGTGGTAATTCTTAACTTTGCTTTTGTTTCATCACTGTATCACAGGGATCTACGGCCAGTACAATTTTATTACAATGTCAACAGGAGCTATCTGACCAATACAATACAAAATACAAAAAATAAACTCATCTAAATTTTCACTGTGTAAAACAAAAGAGAAACAAACAAATAACAATGACAAGAGTTGTTCCTCACAGGCTAACATTGTCCTTACCTGGCAGGGTCGATCTCATAGGAGCAGTTGTCCCTGTCCATAAGGAACATGTCCATGATGAGCGGCTGTAGCAGCTCGCGCAGGTAGCCCTGGCCGTAGAAGCGGAAACAGTAGGCCATGATCTTGCTGGCCAGACTGTTCCCCCGGAACAAAGTCTGCATACAGTCAGCTATCTCCACCTGGAAGCAGGCCTTTGAAGTGATATAGTGTCTTAGAAAGGTGGTCATTGCTTACCGCACAACACCCGTCAACTTGGTGCAAGTTTTTGTCCTTCTTGGTGTTCGGTTTATTTTAGACGACTTCAACCGAGGCTGTATGTCACAGCCTGTTGGAAGTCTTCAGCAAGGCCGTGTAAATATATGGCCGTAACCTTTAATGTTAATAGTTTGGTTAGTTGGTACTGGTGATTGAGGCGATTCTGTTCTGATCAACAGACTGGTTGAGTGATGTGGATTGACGTGTTCTCGCTTCTACCAACAAGGATCAAATCGTACACAAGTTACAGACGCTGTTTTTGCGACACCTACATCTACACAGGTCACAACATGCACATGCCACACAGCTGACGGAACAAGCAGACTTGACAGAAATTCTTGGCCATTTTGGAACTTGCTAACATTCTGTGACGATAGCCTAGAGACATCCATATGCCTCCATTCTGGACACAAACCCAAGATTGGTGGCAGTGTCGGTTACAATCTAAATATTAAAAATAATTTTAAAAATTAAATTCCCTGAACTAAGGCATCTTCCGAATGTGTAAGAACCTCACATTTTCTATGCAAAGTTAAAATTCACACCAACCTTTTCAGGTTGCTGATTCTTTGAAGAGAGTCCTCCTTGGGGTACTTATAAGCATTCTTAATGGCCATAAAAAATTCCTATGACAGTTGTAACTACCGGTATATTTTTGATAAAATATTTACACAAAAATATAACTTGTTTTTGTCATGTTTGACCACCCTTGCAGGGTCTTGAAGGCCCGCAGCCAAGAGAAGGTAACTCTAACCTCACAAATCACTTTCCATGTTGATCTTGATCAGACAGAAGGTGGGGAGGTGGTGATGTCAAATATTTCCCTGATACAGTAATAATATTAACCTGGTGCAATGTACCAATACAGTGTTAATCACAACAATAGTATTAACGTGACGAGAACAAACCTGGTTCCTCATAGCCAGGCGCAAGACATATATATTAGCACTATATGGGGACTATTAGTTAATCCCATTTCTTGCACCATATAGAGAACCTGTGAGTGAGTGAGTTAAGTTTTACGCCGCTTTTAACCATATTCCAGCTATATCACGGCGGTGGATACCAGAAATGGGCTTCACACAGTGTACCCATGTGGGGAATCAAACCCGGGTCTTCTGCGTGACGAGCGAACACTTTAACCACTAGGCTACCCCACCTCCCCGGAGAACTTGTGACACAACAGCAACATTAGTGTTGTTAGACACTGTCAACATTACAATCAGTTTTCTTTCAGAAATGCAATGCTTTATTCGCGATAACGAGATTGTTTACAAAGACCTGTTTTTATGTGAATTTGGGTGTTATTTATCCAAACGGATTATATGGTGAATTGAGATTTAACATTATGAGTGAGTGAGTGAGTTTAATTTTACGCAGCTTTTAGCAACATTCCAGCAATACCATGTCAGGGGACACCAGAAATGGGCTTCACACATTGTACCCAAGTGGGGAATCGAACCCAGGTTTTCGGCTTGATGAGCGAATGCTTTAACCACTAGGCTACCCCACTGCCCCCTTAACATCATGTTGCCACATATATAGCAACACGTGTGTGTGGTGGCTGGTACTAGTCCAAACTTAAGGCAGTTTCTCAGAGATATGACTCTGGAGTTTAACATGGATACCCTAATCGGACACAGTATAATGACTCAGCCGATGAGTCCATGTTTTATTCCTTGAAAACTGATCACAAGGCAGGGTAACGGGACCGATTTGGCGGGAAAAGGGAGGCTCCTCTGGGTGAGTGATTTTACGATCGCTTCATGGAATTGAGAAGGATTCAAGTTTCCATTTAACCGTCGAAAGGAGAAGAGAAATAAGCAATACATTACATCAAATACTATCCGACACTTGTGGTATGATGGGGCCAGGATTTGAACTACCAACATTCCACTCCCAGGGCAGATACTTCATCCACCGGACCAGTAGAGATTTCACTTACATAGATATTAATTAGTCTTAGACTGTCGTGCAATAGTCTCACCTACACTGACAGTCTTATACACTTTAAAGTGAATAAGGAATCAGGGAACCTATTTTATCCAGAATCCCAACAAGATATTAAAAGCATTACATTCATACTGAAACAGTTCATATCAAGGACAACATAGTTTGAGTATAAATAGAGTGTCATGGAAAATTAGGAACATTGTATAATTATGATGATAACTGTTAGATTACGACACCAATAAGAGCTGGTGTTATTCTGTTGGCCTCCCCCACCGACAAGTTGACTGTATGTACTCACCTCTTTAGAAAACATGTTCCACAACAGCTGGTAGAGCAGCCTCTTGGCATCAAACAGATTGACAAACACCCGCTAGCTCATCCTGAAATTTCAAACATCATGTCAGCATCAAACAGGTTGGGGGTTGGGGGCACCAGAAATGGGCTTCATACATTGAACCGTTGTGTGGAATCGAACCTGGGTCTTCGGCATGACGAGCGACTGCTTGAGGTGGCAGAGTGTGAGGGAGTGAGTTTAGTTTTGCGCCGCTTTTAGCAATATTCCAGCAATATCACGGTGGGGGGACACCAGAAATTGGCTTCATACACTGAACCGTTGTGTGGAATCGAACGCTTGAGGTGGCAGAGATTATACAAAGTCTACATGATATTGGCAGACATCCTGCTACACAATGTACTGCCATGGCAGTGATAAACTAAACACATGACACAGGGAAATCGTCACTTTTGCCATTGTTAGACAGCATATATCAAATTCCCATCCCTTTAAATTGGGCAGCCTCAAAGAACTCACCATCTGAGAGTTGGACACCACTGTTGCTAACGCCATGGCGATGGGCAGTTCCCCTTTGTCTCCAATCATGGTGACTAACTCGACCAGACGCTCGAATCTGTCGGCCAACGCTGTCTCCTGCCAGCGTCTCGAACTCTGTACCCTGCTGAAGGATCTTCGTGAGGACCTCCATGAAAGCAGCCCTGGTCTGAGGATCTTTGTGGTAGCCGAGAGCTGGGGAAGAAGATCAGACTAACAGAACAATCTCGGACATGAAGTCGACTAGTTACATAGTCACAAATAATTAGCCATCAAATTTTGGGCCTTCTAAGGCAAAGCACTGGCGATTAGGGCTTTTTCACGTCTAAAACAAATAAAGGGCCTTTTTAGGGTATATTGTCCAGATTTCAGGCTTTTTCAAGGCTGTGCGAACCCTGTATATTATTACAGCAAAAAGAAAGGGTCTTAAATTCTATTCCATCAGAGAATCAAATGACACAGAACCACAACAAAGAGAAAGGTTAGAGTGAGTGAGTAAGTATGGTCTTACGCCACTTTTAGCAATATTCCAGCAATATCACAGCTGGGGAACACCAGAAATGGGCTTCACACATTGTACCTATGTGGGGAATCGAACCCAGGTCTTCGGCGTGACAAGCCAACGCTTTAACCAATAGATTACCCCACCACCAAGCTAGGTTAGAATTTCTTCAGCAATAAATGTTTGTCGTAAGAGGCAACTAACAAGATTGCTGGGTCAGACTCGCCTACTCAGTTGATGCATGTAATTGAATCATAATCCAATCTTGATGATTACTTAAAGACAGCTCTCATAGATGGTATATTCCTAGGAACAGCTTCAAACAAACACTCACCTATGGAGTGCATCAGGCCACTGTCTATGTTGGCATTGAGGAGGTTGGACATGGCCTGCACTGTACAGTTTCGGAGTGCACTCAGATTGGACATGCTGCGCTTCCTGTTCGGATCCATCGCCTTGTCCTGTTCCTCCTCAGAACAGTCGTTGAGCAGGTTCATGAACAGCGTCAGGTACCTGAAACACGTCACACAAATACAACCTGGTCACCGTGTGTTGCATATGAGTGACATTTACTACATTTATAGAGACACATGAATTCAAGATGCTGAACACATATCTCAAGGAATCTAAGACAAAGCATATGAATCATAGAAGTAACTACCAGTAGGTATATAAGTTCAAATCTGCCCCGGATGATCAAAGTCATAATAGTTATGCAATATGTTGCAAGTGTCTAAGTCCATGGACAAAACTCTTTTTCAAATCTCCCTCATTTAAAAGCATACAGATATAGTGGTGTAGTGGTTAGAGCGTCCGCCCGAGGAGCGGAAGGTCGCAAGTTCGATCCCCGACCGCGTCATACCAAAAGACGTTAAAATATGGTACTTGTTGGTCCCTGCCTGGCGCTTGGCATTAATGGGCACAAGGACTGGTCGGCTCGGAGTCAGTATAATGTGTCTGAGTGGGGTATCCATGCTTCACTGCGGCATGGTATCTCAGTGGGCTAGCACTATAAAACCAGCTTAAGTCTAGGCTAGTACAAGCAGCCGCACATACACATACACATGCATGCATGTCGTCATATGAGCGAAATATTCTCAAGCACGACGTAAAACCCACTTTCACCTCACCTCACCTCATATTCTGCCTGGCCTCAAACATTGAAAAAACATGCTGTTCAGAATGTAATGTAATTTCAATCCTTCTAATGCTCTAGACACTTTATTCAATCTTAGAACCATTGTAAATAAAGATCATAAATTAACACTATCATGGAAATATATCATCTGACAAAATCAGGCAATTTTATTTATAAGGTTTAAGCACAGCCTGCATACACAATGTCCATTGGCTTAACTTCCAATAACAAATCCTGGAGAACCAGTGTGATGACTTACTTGAGGAAGAGCTGCGACTTGGCCTCCATCAGGTCACCCGGTCACTCTCCTCAGGCTGCAGGGGCAGTCCGGCCAGCAGTGCAGCCACAGCCTCCATACTGGCCTGGTCCAAGTCCCTGGTCACACACAAAGATACACAGCATGATTGAGTTAAGACTTAGGTCACAGCGTTATTTCAGTCAAACAGCGACAAGGACACGCTACACTCATTACCATAAACAGGTGAGAATTCGAAATTATTTTTCTTCGCAAGTGACATGTAAAGATCCGGGTTAGAATTGGTCTTCAGCAACCCATGCTTATTGTAAGAGGCAACAAACAGTATCAAATGTCAGGCTCGCTGACTTGGTTAACACATGTCATCATATCCCAACTGAGTAGATCCCTGCTCATGTTGTTGATCACTGGATTGTCTGGTCCAGACGATTATTTACAGACCACCGCCATATAGCTGGAATATTGCTGATTGCGGCGTTAGACAACAAAAACAAAACTCTTCACAACCTTTACTTATATCCCCACCAAAACTAAGGGAAGTAACTACATGTTAAACCAGTGCAGGGAAAAGTTACAGTGATACTTTACTTCTTCTATCTAGTCATGAAATGACAGTTTTGCTCATTTAAAATAGCAAAGATTATGATTATTATTTCTGTGTCATTAAGCAATGTAAGGTTTAGCTCTTTTTGTCCATTTTTTGCATTATGATCATATCTCATATACTGAACCGAAACGGACCGAACCGAAGGCCTTGTACCGCAAAACGTACCGTACCGTGGTAAGAGCATACCGTTTCACCCCTACTAGGTAGGGCTGCACAATATAACCGGTTTACCGGTATTTACCGGTTCAGACATGAAAAAGATACATATTGCGATAGGCTGATCGAAAACCGGTATTTTGACATGCATTCGGAAAACGTCGTAACACTCGGAAATCTTCGGATAGTTCCTTGTTTCATTTGTGCCAAATATTATTCACATTTTTATTTTGTCATGATTAAAATTTGTTATTAAAGCTTAATCAAGCATAGTAATCTTGCTGTGTATTTGCTCTATAAATCAAGCAGTAACTCGATTATAAGTAGTTTTTGTATAAAAATACTTCATGCAATATATCGCAATATGAATATTCTCTGCACTACCCACCGTACTACTAGGCTAGCACTATCTAACCCTGCTGGACTGGTTATGTGGTGTTAACTCAGTGGTAGAAACCTGGCACCAACTGACAGGATCTGAAGATGATTGTTACCAAACCCTGACCTGCCTGTCGGTGATTGCGATTGGTTCACACTGTCACTACCCACTGACCTGGACATGCTGCAGATGTCGCCCTGAATGTTGACCTGGTGAGAGTTCCCCATGATCCAGTCTGTCAGGTACTCCACCAGCTTGTTCCTAAACTTCATCTCCTGGCGGAAGGTCAGCTCATCTCGACGCTGCATCATCTGAAAGAAGCGGTATTGAATAGAGTGAGTAAATAGGATGGTATTACTGCCACCAGTATCTCAAGTCTTCGCTGCAGATCTGGGAACAAGTATAGGCCTCTTGTCAGATCCTGATAAATCTCTGGCATCTGTGACAATATGTCAGCAAGGTCACAGAAAGTCAAACTCATCCACCATCAGCAGGCAAGTCCTGAGAGAGTGAGTGAGTGTGTATGGTTTCACGCCGCTTTTAGCAATAATCCAGCAGCATCACGGTTGGGGGACACCAGAAATGGGCTTCACACTTTGAACCCACGAGGGGAATCGAACCCGGGTCTTCGGCGGGACGAGCCGACACTTTAAGTCCTGAACAAACACCTGTGTACTTGCTATTTAACATCACGATCACAATATTCCAGCTATATCACAACAGCTTGTAAATAAAACAGTTTGGACCAAACAATCCGATGATTATCACTATGATAAACACCACTAATGTACGACAAAACAGGTTAAAGGATTTGGATTTGAATCCTGTGGGTTATTCCTACCCAGGTTAGACCAACATGTAGCTGGAATATTGCTGAGTGCTGTGTTAACAAACAAGCATGACAAATCAGCTTAACTATTAATGAAACAAGTACAAGTTTCTGGGGACAGATATTTCCAGGAGTGAGTGAGTGAGTTTAGTTTTACGCCGCACTCCAGCAATATTCCAGCTATATGACGGCGGTCTGTACATAATCGAAGTCTGGACCAGACAATCCAGTGATCAACAGCATGAGCATCGATCTACGCAATTGGGAACCAATGATATGTGTCAACCAAGACAGCTAGCCTGACCCCCGTTTTCCGTTAGTCTCCTCTTACGACAAGCATGGGTTACTGAAGGCCAATATTCTAACCCGAACCTTCCGTCGATATTTCCATGAATATCAAACGGCAGAGAAGAGGGTACTGCAGTGGAACTATAAACGGTAAACAGTAAACAGTAAACTTACCGCTTCCACCAGCTGACATAACTTGGTCTTGATCTGTATGGCATGGACTGATGAATCCAGGTGTCTCACATACCTGTAACAACAATAAGTCTGTGAATAGTGGATAGGAAAATAGCATTAATAATGCAAGGGACACAACTCTCAATACAAGCTGTTGCTCAACACATATATACAGAATTCTTCCTGCAAATGGTTATAGCTCTGTGCTGTCTCTACAGTCTTCTTAAATATCCTGTACCCAAAACCTTTGAGTCAGTTTGCTCAAACTCAGTTTTTGGCTTCAAATTTTGTACATTCTGTGTAGTCATGTAGACTGTTATCTTACTAGTTGAGTGAATGAATGAGTTTAGTTTTACGCCACTTTGAGAAATATTCCAGCAATATCACTGCGGGGGACACCAGAAATGGGCTTCACACATTGTACCCATGTGGGGAATCAAACTGGGTCTTCAGCGTGACGAGCGAACGCTTTAACCACTAGGCTACCCTGAGTGATATTAGTTTCAGGCTTTTGACAATTGGCAAAGTTGCAGATATCTTTCAGCTCTTGCATAAATCTTAACATCTAAGCATTCTCCATGACATACCTTACTTCTGCCAAACTCAAACTTTACCATGACGAATCAAACTTTACCATGATGAATCAAAAGCTTGAGGACAGGCAAAATCAATATGATCCTCCATATATGTCAAGTGTTGAAACGACTGCAGCCTTTCTAGTCATTACAAAATAAATTATCCTTTGGTCTTCTTGTTCCTACATAAGCATGAGTGAGTTTTAGCTTTACATCACTTTCAGCAATATTCCAGCAATATCATGGTGGGGGGACACCAGAAAGGGGCTTCACACATTGTACCCATGTGTGGAATCGAGCCTGGGTCTACAGCGTACCCCACCGCCCCACATAAGCATGAAATTCCTGTCTTATCAGTTAAAAACAAAAAGCTTGTGGTTCCGACCCTAAATATTCCCGCCGAGCCTAACAATTTTACTCACCTCATAATAAATGAAATTTATTTTCTGACACATGAGTAATCTAAAAATATTTTGCAAAAAAACCCAAAACCCCTACCTACCCTAGTTCTGAAATGTAGGAAATCGGAACCACAACATTTATTTTTTTGGGCCTTACCTGACAATGGTGAGCATAAGTGACTCAATGCTGGCCAGTCCCAGGTATTCACAGGGCTGGTCAGACTTCATCTCTAGGATGTTCTTCATGATGAAGATGACGTTCTCCACAAACTGGGTGTTCATGTCTGTGACAATCACCTGAAATATGAACCAGTATGACAGTCAAGGCAATGTGTAACTGAAGTTTTCATCGGGGTGATACAAGACAGTAAAAGGGGTCAAGTTGAATACAATCACCATATGTACTAGTTTCTTGGGAAACATGAGTGAGTGAGATTATATGCCTCTATAAACAATATTCCAGCAATATCGGGGGACACCAGAAATAGGCTTCACACAGTGTACCTATGTGGGGACACACAGTGTACCTATGTGGGGAATTGAACCCGGGTCTTCGGCGTGATGATCTAACACTATAACCTTTTAGCTTCATATTCAGCCAATTTCATTATTGAGTGAGTGAGTATGGTTTTACGCTGCTTTTAGCAATATTCCAGCAAAATCCCGGCTGGAAACACCAAAAATGTGCTTCACATATTCTACCCATATGGGGAAATCGAACCCAGGCCTTCAGCATAATTTCATTAATGAATTCGAAACATGAGTTATCAAAAACCAGCTTCTACCCACCTGTCCAGTGGCGTCGAAGTACTTGTCGACACAGACCTTGATCTGGTCAAACAGAATGGGGTAGAGGGCAGGGTTCAGCTCATGCCCCACCAGCTCCTTCACATGCTTCTGGATCTGCGCCCCGAACTTCTCATTCTGGAAGATCAGCAGCTTCAGGAGGTTCCCGATAAATCTGGAAACAGGCGAGGCTGGTGTTTACTACTCGTTCATTACGGTCTTGAAATCAATACTGCTCAAAAGAAGTTGAGAACTGCTTGCTTTATTCATATTTTGATATAAGGGTAATGCTATTTTTGAGGGCATTATCATTTGCAGACTGACTGACTGACTGAGTTTGGTTTTACGCACCGCTTTTAGCAATACTCCAGCAATATCATGGCAGGGGACACCAGAAAGGGTCTTCACACGCACTCCATGTGGAGATTCGACCCGGGTCTTCGGGCGTGACGAGCCAACGCTTTAACCATTAGGGCTACCCCATCCGCCCCATCATTTGCAGAAGCCCTAGGTCTTCCAGGCAGTTGCAAATTATAATGCCTTCAAAAAATAGCATTTCTTATTATTGCTAAAATACATGGAATTTGTTTTGAAAAGAAAAAAGGAAACAATGAAGGAATTTGACTGTAAGTTTACTAAAAGCCAACTTCTGACGGGTTGACTGACCCGAATGCAATTACGCCATTGAACAATTCAGGTGACATCAAAACAGAACGTGACGATATTCGACCTTGGCCTTTGACAAGACAATGGCCTGCAACATGTCAAACTATGTCAGACACAACATCAGTTTTCAGTGTTCGGTTTTGGTCCAACAACAACATTAAAAGTGCAATTGTTAAGGTTAGCACCAGCAAGGAAGCCAATATTACCGCTAAAGCGGGAATTCGGGTTGCTTTGACTTGTTTGCCCCAGAATGTCTGCCAGTCCAAAGCCAAAGTCGAATGAACCGTAAGCCCACGCACCCACTATGACGTCACTTGACACCAGAACTGATAGTGGCCCGTCATTAAGCAGTCCAATATCATCTGCAGTGGCCCGCAAATTTCTGATAATAGGAGGGCCGTTTCATGATAATTCCATGTATTTTAGCTATAATGAAGATCAATTCTAATCCGTGTCTATATTGGGGACAAGCATGGTTATCTGAAGACCAGTTATTACCTCAATCTTTATTGGGGACAAGCATGGTTATCTGAGGACCAGTTATTACCTGAATCTTTATTGGGGACAAGCATGGCTATCTGAAGACCAGTTATTACCTGAATCTTTATTAGGGACAAGCATGGTTATCTGAAGACCAGTTACAACCCAAATCTTTATTAGGGACAAGCATGGGATGCTGAAGACAAGTTCTCCCCGAGTGTTAAAGAGGTTGTCCTAAATCCCCTCTTGTGTTACATCAACCTACAGGAGTTTGAATTTAATGGAATCAAGTTATCCTGCTTCACTCACTGTGTGACTGGGCAATACTGGGTGTCATTGGCACAACTCTGCATAAGGCTAGACTTCCGCGCTGTGTCGACGTTGATGCCGGACATGCTGATGGTGCTGACGCGATGTGACTTGTTCTGCAGCCGGACACTGCCCAGGGCACACAGGAAGCCCGTCATGTTGGCCCACTCGTTCAGCTGGTCCTACAAAACACAATCATGGACACGTCACATAAGATGGGGTCACATAAGGTGGGGTCACAAAGGTGGGGTCACATAAGGTGGGGTCACATAAGGTGGGGTCACATAAGGTGGGGTCACATAAGATGGGGTCACATAAGGTGGGGTCACATAAGCTGGGGTCACATAAGGTGGGGTCACATAAGGTGGGGTCACATAAGGTGGGTCGCATAAGATGGGGTCACATAAGGTGAGGTCACATAAGATGGGGGTCACACAAGATGGGGTCACACAAGATGGGGTCACATAAGGTGGGGTCACACAAGGTGGGGTCACACAAGATGGGGTCACATAAGGTGGGGTCACATAAGGTGGGGTCACAGGAAGGTGGGGTCACATAAGATGGGGTCACAGAAGGTGGGGTCACATAAGATGGAGTCACATAAGGTGGGGTCACACAAGATGGAGTCACATAAGGTGAGGTCACACAAGGTGGGGTCACACAAGGTGGGGGTCACACAAGATGGGGTCACAGAAGATGGGGGTCACATAAGATGGGGTCACATAAGGTGGGGTCACATAAGGTTGGGTCACATAAGGTTGGGTCACATAAGGTGGGGTCACATAAGGTGGGGTCACATAAGATGGGGTCACATAAGATGGGGTCACATAAGATGGGGTCACATAAGGTGGGGTCACATAAGATGGGGTCACATAAGGTGGGGTCACATAAGACAAGATTACCAAGCTAACCACAGTCAAAGGTGAAAATGAGGCATTTCAGGTAAAGCAAAAGACAGTGTTTTCCTTTAGGAAGTTTCCATGTTCCCACAGACTTCACATACAGACCGTCGCAATGTATTTTGGAACAACTTTAGAAATCAACGTAGGCTGACAACCAGAAATGACAAGAAGTGACCAGTAATAATTTGACAGTCACTGGCTTCACTAATACAACCACTGTTTCCAACCAGAGTAATATGTCATGTCCTAAAAGGGCCAACCAGAAGTTGAATGAGTGAGAAACATTCAAGATGAAGATAACTATCACCTATAACCACATCCACACAAAGATCTTACAGCATCAGCTTCTATACATCTGATAGATCTTCAGACTTCTGACAGTCATACTATGAGTTGAGTTGAGGTGAGGTGAAATTGGGTTTAACGTCGTGCTGGAGAATATTTCGCTCATATGACGTCGTGCATGCGTGTGTATGTGTATGTGCGGCTGCTTGTACTAGCCCAGACTGAAGCTGGTTTTATAGTGCTAGCCCACTGAGATACCATGCCGCAGTGAAGCATGAATACCCCACTCAGACACATTATACTGACTCCGAGCCGACCAGTCCTTGTTGTACCCATTAATGCCGCGCCAGGCAGGGACCAACAAGTACCATATTTTAACGTCTTTTGGTATGACGCGGTCGGGGATCGAACCCGCGACCTTCCACTCTCCGGGTGGACGCTCTAACCACTACACCACGGAGGCGGTCACGACAGTCATACTATGCAAGCACAGACTCATGAGAGCATACAGCTAAGATTGCCATGTGGAGTGGGGTGATAGTTGTTCTTACCATTTGTCAGTAGTGTACGCATTGCTCATATTGTGACCAATCTTGTCTTATTCAGACCTCCAGTAAACCTAGCTACGACCTGAAAGTAAAACATGCTGTTGTTGCTGATGGACCTACCTCCAGTTCATGTTCGGTGGAGGCATGGTTGGGAGGTTTCCTCTTCATTTTGATCATGTCAGCAACGGGTCACCCTCTGAGTGTCATCGAAGAGTTCATGAGTTGGGTTTGGGGTAGGACTATTTCAGGTAACGGGTCACCATGTCCCAGTTCCGAATGCAGTCCTAGACCCAGGCCTGTAGGTTGGAGGCATGAGAGTGAGTGAGTGAATCAATGATGGTATTCAACCCCAAAATGAATTGTCAGCTTTAATGTGGTTGGAGAACTCGAAGTGATGCAGTCTAAGACTTTCAGCTCTTAGGTGAAGAACATGGTTTGGGACACACACGCCCAGAAATAAAACCAGTGTGAATGGTATTTAACCCCATGATGACAGACGCCTGGCCCATCCAAGGGACACAACTCTGCAAACATGTGGCACTAATGACAAGGTCACAGACACCAGAGAAAGATATAATGGAATGAAACAGCTCAACTTGTACACATAAATGTGGAAATATCTCACTTTGACTGAATAAATGAATAATTTTGTACATTTCCATTATAAAGTCACATCACATTTGCCTATAAATATTTGAGTGACCAAGTGAATGTTAAAGTTTTAAAAGGCATTTAGAACTGATATGCACAAAGGGGAAAATTTATAGATGTCAACTTCTACTTAATGATAATGAACACAACATATTGGAAGATATTCTTGAATCAGGTGAATGGTGCGTAAATGTTGCTTCACACCACAAGTAAAGCACAAAATATATCTCCGTAATCTACATGTATAACAGAGTCTGGAGAGTGACAGTGGAAGCAGATCATCCAGTCTCCTCACTCAAAAGTGTAAGACTTAGAGGCTTGATGTTTGTACCTGAGAGTTTCCTGGTGTGGACTGATCTATCTTCCTCAATAAGGCCATTATACGCTTCTGGAGGGCTGCTCGACCTGGTCAAAAACAAAACTCAAATGAAATCCTGACAAATTACAGCTTCAGTCTTTCATTGTCTATTGGTTATTTGGATGTGTTTACAATCTTTCAACACTAAACACAAGATCCCTCTGTAACGTGTAATAAATCAGCCCTTCATTATTCCTGACATGAATTAAGAAATCCAAGGAATACTGTATATGAGGTAAATGGCGTCGAGATTCCACTTGGTTTCTGCTAATGTGTTACAAGGGAGGTATTATCTAGTAGATTCCATCATTTTGGTCTCAGAGGCTCTGAAACTGGAGTGAATATTACCTCACAGTTATCAATATTTCAGCTAAAACGTCTCCTGTACATTATTGGGTGATAAATAATGCAGGAAAACACACAATCTGCCAGGACACACGTCACCTTGACCCTCTTCTTCAGTCTAAGTAAACTTAGGCTCAGTATTATTCGTTACACTGCTATACTGAGTCTAACAAAACCTAGTAGAAGGTCCGTTAGCTAACCTTCTGGACTGACCAATCAGAACACAGCTTACCAAATCGCGAAAGTTAATATTCGCGCATACCGTTTGAACCTTTACCTAAAAAACTCGAACGATTATTTTCCACACCTGAGTGATACACGCAATGAGTAAACAGTCGCTGGAAATAGCGTTTTTGTCAATATTCAAGGATGTCATCTTGCGGAAATATAAGCTAATGGTAACCATGTTATTAGAATTTAGAAACCCCTAAGCATATATACTGCAGGTAGTCGTTGTCTGATTGGTTAAACCTGTTGGTCCGTCTCGACGGTCATTGGTCGCTCAAAGGTTAGCTGACGCGACCTTCTACAAGGTTTTGTTAGACTCAGTATAGCAGTGTAACGAATAATACTGAGCCTAAGTTTACTTAGACTGCCCTCTTCTTAAAACATTGGGCTAAAATGGTTTTACTGATCTGGCCGCTGATTCTTACCAAAACGGGCAAGGTGTACTTTGGTGATATTGTGTCCTGGTATGGGCCATATTTCAACCCTTAGGGAACAAACACCAATATCTAGCATCATCACCTACTACACAACAGATGCTGCTGCACAGTTTAATATCTTAAGGTTTCCCCTACCAGTGGTAAGGACGGTGCTAGCAGCTGCCAGTTCTGCGTAGACGTTGTAGTTGGGAAGTAGTTGTGTGACGGCCATCTCGTCAGCGCCGCACCGGATGTCTGCCTCCTCACACAGCAGACGGAAACAAGACATCGCCGTCAACACTGCGTCCATGTCGATACTCCACAGATACATGAAGAACACCACCTGCAGACAGGGGAGACAAACTCTTGAGTTCCGATTTTAACATCCTCTAATGAGCGACCAGAAAGATGGTCCCTAAAACTAATATTCCATCATTGCTGCTTATTCAGTGAGTCCAGCAGCACCTGATTTTCAACGTAGAAAACAAATGTAATGCGAGATGAAACGTACTAAATGTTTCTCTAAACTAATATCAGCATACACAAGTGAGCATACACTGAACACTGTTTTTAAATCTTCATGGTTTAGAGAGTATGCTTCATCTTAGGAAATCAGGAAATCTTCATCTTAGGAAATCAGGAAATTGGAAAAACTTTCTTTGCTGGCAATAAAAACAACAAATATGCTGGACTTAAAGTGACATGCGAATCGTCAAGAAAGAACATTCGTTATGTAAAGCCCAACAATCATCTTATTTGAACTGTCCCATGATGTTTGAAGCACTGACCTCCAGTTTGATGTGAGCTTGTATGCACACTGGGATGTTGCTGCCAACATTGGCATTGGCGCTGTGTTTCTGGAGGAATCGGTTCCGACACACCAGGATGTCCCGAAGCCACTTGAGGATCTCTGTGTAGTTGACGATCTGGTGCTGGATGAGGCGTTGGGAGATGTAGAACAACACCTGCGAGCTGAAAACAAACCACATTCATGTATGAGTGAGTGTGTATGGTTTTACACAGCTTTTAGCAATATTCCAGCAATATCAATTTCATACCCAGGGGAATTGAACCTGGATCTTTGGCATGACGAGTAAACACTTGAACCAATAGGCTACGCCACCACCCCACCACATTCATGTAGGCACAGTGAAAACATGCTAGCCTAGAAACCCTGTTAGTCTGAAAGCCCTATTAATCTAGAAACCCTTCCAGTCTGGATATGTCATGTTTGGCAAACTCTTTAGACCACAACCCCTTTGAGTCCGAATTTCTTGTTAAGCCAGAAACATTGGTCTTTACTTTCTCGTCAGCCTAGCATCCCTGAACAGGTTATTCTGTACAACCCGTAAGTCAAGGAATCCAGTTAGAGAAGAAACTCCATCAGTCCAAAAAACCTAACTTTCTGCACACCCAGTTAGTTCGGAATATCTGTTAGTTCATAACAATAACCTTTTGGCTCATCTACATAAAAGCTTGATTTTCTACTTTTCATATGACACAATAAGAACAACACTTCAGTTTAGCTGTAGAAACCATTTCATCAACAACATAAAATATATTCACACAACACTCCCATATTTCAATTGATACCATTTTTCAGCAATCCAGCAAACACTGACAAACACATCAGGGGAGACAACTCCTGCAGGACTAACCTGATGTCCCAGAAAGTGTTGATGGGAGCCTCAGGATTCCACAGCTCAATGTTCTCCGGCTGATGTAGGCAAAGCAAAGCCTAGAGAGAAAGGAAAACACACAAATTAGATCAAACCAAATATATTTTGCTGAAAATAGCCATGTTTGTCTCACATGTTCAGACAAAAATCTAATAAAAATGATAAGTACCATATATTCTATATCCGACACATTATTTAATGATGAAGTAATTTTGCCCCAAGATATTATCCCTCTTTATTAGAGTCAAAACAACAATGTTCACATAACAGCAGAATTAATAATGGGTGCCAATTTCAAGGCCTTTTCAAGACTTTCCATTCACTTTTCCAGACTTCTCAAAGCAGAACAAAACAAATAGTGCCATGTCAAAGCCCTTTCAATACCCTGGAAGTGAAATCCAGAACAATCAAGCCTGAACCAACCCTGGTTTAACAACTCTGATGTCATGTGAAATCAGAACAATCAAGCCTGAACCAACTGTTGTTGCAGATTTGGAGTCAAGGTTTCCAGAGCTTTTCTAACTGTACATTTTAACAAATACACCTGACACAAATATTGGTAAATTAGGGACCGTTCATAATTTATGACTAGGGGGTGATGATGATTATTAGGGGTCACCCATTTTGTTCGGTGTGTGTGTGTCCATGCAATGGTGTAAAGGCGGCGAGGTAAGGGTGTCCGTTCCAGCAATTTTGCACACATGCACTAGGGAGTCAGCAATATTGGACATAAAATTATTACAAAAATATGATCAGTAATTATGGGAAGGATGGGGAGAGGGGTGTGTGTGTGTGGTGTGTGTGGTGTGTGTGTGTGTGGTGTGTGTGTGTTGGTTATTGATTTTGTACATGACATGCAGGGGAGTTCACTTACATTTTACCAACAACAAAAAAAATTTGGGGGGGGTGTGTCATTGTACATGCTTCACCCCTTAGCCATAAATTATGAACGGTCCCTTAGTCAGATTTTTAGAGATCTTATATATCAACCATAACATGATTCAAGTCAGTGAAATCACTTGAGTCTGTTGATGTTGGAATAAGTTTGTTGATTTGAACACAACAGATTCTCGTGGTTTCTCCATTATGTATTTATACTGTACCTCCATGGCTTTCTGGGCAACATCAGTCATCCACTGTTGATGTACGAGGGACACCAGGCTGGTGATCAGCTCCAGGGTGCTGCGCTGGATCTCATGCCCTGGCTTGCCTTGATTCTGGGACACAAACCACACAAAGTCACTGACAGGAGGATCGGGATCATTTACAGCTAACACCTTACCTGTCCAGGCAGTGATGACAAATCCTACATGGAATCTGATTCAGTTCAAAGTGATTAGTGTTAGTGATGATGTAAGTATTTTTGTGATTTATTTTAGATAACCGATCCCATAATGTTTAGATAGTATCTTTTGATAAGACATAAAGTTAGTTGATCTAGTTTTAAGCCACACTCATCAATATTCCAGCTATATGGTTGTAGTCTGTAAATAATCAGGGCCCCGTTCCTCAAAGCGATCGTAGCGCTACGACAGTCGTAAGTCTATGTTGAAGTATGGGAGTTACGATCATCTTAGCGCCACCCTGCTTTGAGGAATGGGGCCCAGGTCTGGACCAGACAATTCAGGGATCTACAGCATGAACATCGATCTACACAATTGGGACCACGATGACATGTGTCAACCCAGCAAGTGAGTCTGTTAGTGGCCTCTTACAACAAGCATGGGTTGCTGAAGATCAATTCTAACCAGGATCTTCATGGGTCTCAGACATAAAGATAACATATATACTGACACCTATCTATCTGGGGACACACTTAAACACCAACAACCAGATATACTCACATGCAACATGAGATACGGATCAGCGTGGATGAGCTTCACTATCCACAGTAGGATGTACTTGTAGCTAGTCAGTGTCTCATCTGACGTGGCTCTCGTTAACGTGATGGCCTTCGTCATTCTGGTTAATGTCTGTCAAAAGAAACAACAACGCTCATTTTCAAGATACGGGTAAAAAATGATGCACAGTATTTGATCAGAGAGGAATTTATTCCAAAACACAATAAGTCAAATGGATTAGAGTGCACTCAAAATCTATTTTCAACTCCCTGGGGAGTATACAATCCAACCTGGCAATGAGGTTTAAGGTTACCATCACATCCTACCAGGTACCCATTTACTGCTGGATGAACATGGACACATTTCAAACAAACTCACATGTCTAAAGACTAAAATGGTATACCACTTGTAATATACGTTAGGGTGGGTCACTATATGGTGGAAACAACACCAATGCAACATTAAACTTTTATATACAGCAGCAGTCTGTAAATGATCAAGTCTGCACCAGACAATCCAGTGATCAACAGCATGAGCATTAATCTAGGCAATTGAGATACAATGACAGGAGTCAACCAATTCAGTGAACTTGACCACCAGATCCCGTTAGTCACCTCTTACAACAAGCAAGGGTGGCTAAAGACCAATTCTAACCTGGATCTTCACCGGTATCTATTACACCGAGTTCTAACTGCTTCTACAACCAACACATTGGCAGCTTTACCTTGGGGCAGTTATGGCTGCTGAAGCCCTGTGTGACCTTATTGACGATGTCTGTGAACATGTTCCTCAGTTCTCCGGCTTTGCCGTAGTTGAGGCTGATGTCTGGCCACCACGCCAGGCGGGGCTGGAGACAAGAAACATACATGTTACTGGGGTGACAACTAGTTGACATAAACATTAGTCACAACCATTACACAACCAAGAACCGATTTTAGTAACTGACATCAGATTTTAATTATTTCCACAATAGCATACTTTCTCTAAATCCCCACTCCCTGGCCTCAATGAATCCCCATTCTCATGTTATTTTCACATCAGATTGACTCAAAGAACAGATTGACTTTACTTGAACATTAACTCTCAAATGTTTCCACTTTGATCAAGCTTTCAAAGAACTGTTAACTTTTAACAAATTAAGCCTTGGTTTCACAATGTTTGACACACCATCACGTGACTATTGGCACGCTTGGATGCATAAAAGTGAAAATAGATATTGTGACATTGCTTCAGTTCAGGCCAAACAAATACCCACAGTGAGTGAGTGAGTTTAGTTTTATGCTGT